ATAGAAGAGTTCCGGTTACACATACCTGATGAGCCAAAAGGACCGCGAAACCGGTCGTGTGCTTCTGGGAAATTTCGTCCAGTCATTCATATACTCCTCTCAAAGTTCTCCATGTTCAATCACCGGAATGGGACAAGTGACATACAACAGTAAGAGTCATTGAATATCTATTTCGGGAGTGTGAAGATATAAATGACAGTTACTTTGTAATATGATGTTTAATCTGTTTTCGATCCATTCCACGAGTTAATCAAGACCTTTCCATTCAGGATAAAACGTGAGTTGTTATGTACATGAATCTATCACAGCGAACTCTCGCTTAGTAATTTCTTCTTAGCTATTCAGTTACGATTGCCAATACACCTAATCAAGATGAGGTTCTTCGTGATTATAAGTTTAATTGTTCCACTATATGTCGTGTTTTAATCTGTCTACCGACTGGTTCATCAAACCATACTATCAAAGTCAGAGGTTTAAGTTTTGATAAAGATGTGGAAGACTTCACAGATGAAGCAATTTGTAGAACAATCAATAGATGAGATTAGATAATGCAACGCTGTCGAGTAAACAATATACTCGGGTTATTTACTATTTGGATAGGCCTATTTGACAAACTTGTCGCTTGAAAATAACAACATAAATAATTTCTCATCAAATTTGGTTGGCTTTTTCCTTTTAGCCTATGAAGACAAACCTTTAATTCCACTGAACATGGACGATTATCTCTTGGACTTTCCCGTCTACGATCAAACTTACGCATTATACTTCCGTCGCTTGTGTTGGACTGTGAAAATGGATTACAATCAGATAGCGAAAACTATGCTGAACTCTTTATTTGATCAGGTGAGCAAATGTGGAGCTGCACACGAAGTGAATAGACTGAATAAATTTCGCTTTGAGGGATAAACTCAGTTTTCTCACCCAGATTGTTAACTGTCAATACCAAAACCAAAGCTAGGTTGCACTAGATTTATCAATAACAATAAACAAGAGTTTGGGGAAAATTTCGACAAATAATCCTCTAGATGATCAATTAGGATGAAAGATGAGCACGATAAAGACATGGGAAAAGGGACATCGATCACAAAGCAAGGTAGATTTAGTTTACAAAGTGATCATATTAGATCAAAGTTTGCAGCATACGAGAAAATGATAATAACCATTATTTATTCTTATGTTTACTACTGCATTACCACTGCATTGTTACTCAGGTGAGAGTCGATGGTAATAATGGAGTTTGGGACATCGGATAGCGTGTCACGAATGATAGCTGATAGATTTGGTTATCATAAGGTCACAAAATGTACTATACACAATCTTTCTATACTCATGAAACATTTGAGTAACAGTACAGTAAAAGAAAGCGAAATAAAAGTTACAGAATAAACCAATAGCTGGAAAACTGCAGCTTTTAACATCAAGTTTTAGCCAAAACCTGCAACGATTTAGTCACGACCCGTAGTCCTTTAGCCTGGTCACGCCAACTTCGGTCATATAGGCGAACCAGATCAAAAAGTATCAGAATACTCTGAGGTCAACGAGTGTCGAGACACTATTTTCTACAAAGCTTGGTTAAAAAATGTACAGGTGTGGCGGTCGCACGCTGCGCCAAATGTTGATCGGAGAAGGTTTGAACGATGTGCCCTTATTGTTAAATCATCTGACACATCTCGAACAGCTTCACTGCCTACGTTTAAGATGGAATAAAAATCTCAAATGTAACACAAATAGTACATCGTTTTGCATGCACAAGCCCTGAAGTAAGTCAAAATGTGGTTCTGTATCTCTCAGAAAGGTGAACTCTGTTCATGAAAAGAGGGTACATTACCAGTTTGGCGAGACAACGGGACTACGGGTCGTGACTAAAGAATTACGGGTTTTGGCTAAATGATTGTGGGTCGAGGCTAAAGCATTGCAGGTTTTGGCTAAAAGAATATGGGTCATTGTTAAAAGACTAAGGGTTTCCGCTAAAGCTTGATGAGAAAAGGTGCGGTAACGCTCGGTACTTCAAGCAGTTAAAATAATTTTGTGGAAAACCAACCGATTAGTGTAAGACAAAGTTTTGCATTCGACTGCAAACATTTGATTGTATTTACAAATATAAGATCAACATTACCATCAGTTGTAGACATTTAACAGCCAAACTGCTTCGAGATGCTCTTTTGATGGTTACATAATGGGGATAAATGACAAAAGGGAATGTGTTAAGGGCTAAGTGGACAAAAGTCAACTGGGTTAGGGAAAGCACACCGATTTCCCTCGGTGACATCCAGATGCGTTTGGCTGTCAGTGTGACCAGTCAAACACTAGCCCCGCTAATAGTTACCTGAATATGTAAATAAATGTGTGTATACATGACACATTACAATGTTTGAACAATAAAGGTATTTTCCATATGGGCCAAATTTGTGTTTGAATCCAAGAAACATGCTTTTTAAGGGCCCTATAAAATGGACCTAATTACCTCAGAAACGCGGGTTTGAGCGCCACCTACAAAGTGCAATGTTCAAATATTTGAAAAACTCAAGATTAAAAAAATGTGCCAGATATTCCGAAGGAAAGCTGAAGACAGCACTTTGAATCTCGTCTTCTCAACCAAATCTGAGTCATACAAAACTCTCACCAGATAGCTGTCGAATTTAACTCAACTTAGTAGTCTATACTTTCGAAGACAGCTAAATAACGATGCTTATGCGAATCTTACTCAGAGCTGGTGTCTGTTCAACGGATCTGGATACAAAGTTTAGATTGTTAGATCTGGACTAAGCAACTATTTCTTAGCTAACTGTCATATCACGTTCTGGTGCTAATGTACTAAAACTGCAGAAATACATCCAACTGACCTTATTTAGCACGTGTGCAGTTACACTAAGCCGAATTGAGTAGTTATTATGAAACATATCTCCACATAATGTATTTGTAAGTATCACACAAACTGACTGCAGTAATCGATTGAGATTCAAAGGAATGCAATAAGGACGTCTCGACATCGAGCAGTCATTAAGAAAATTACCATTCGCGTTGTATGAATGCAAATAAGTCCTTTTCTGAAACGACAGTAACTTACTGAATTACAGGAAACCAATTCCATAGAACTTATATGAAACGTTTTAATGGAAGCCCCAATTTACAGTTATTTTTTCGAACGTCATTGATGTGAACTGCACAAATTATTTTGTTGAATGTCTGTCTAATATTTCTTATTATCAAAAGTACTTTTCTTTAAGTCGCGATGAATAAGAATATATTTTGTGATCACTCACACAGACACCAATATCAATGCGTAGATGTACTTTGGTCGACACATCCTTTATATGACAGCGAAAAGCGCTTGATTTTTATCCAATGATAAAACAAGCACGAAGTATGTGGACTAATTCTTTATCTAGTCACCTAAGAAGTTGAAAATATTAAACTATTTTCTTCATAAAGTGAAACCTTGAAGTACTTCTTATTTTTCTAGGTCTCGGAAGAATACCTCAGTGGTTATTGGTTACCACAAGCAAATCCGGGATCAGCCGATAAACTGAACGTAAGTATATGAACACATCTTTGCTCATTTTCTCACACTATCTGGTACTTAGATTGCAAACGTTTCATAATGAGATGGAATCACGATACCAGTGCGTTCAAAATCTTCAATAGTTTTCAGACTTTCGTAAGATGGAATATTTTTAACCGTTTGTTGTATCCCGTAAGAAACTGGAAGTTGAGTTTTCCAATCCCTATTCGGTTATAATTTTGATTGACATGCAACTTTAAAGTAAACTTTGCTTTTGGCTTCACGTGTTTTCATTTTTTTCTACAGAATGAATGTGCATCGATCTCTTGTTTGTTATACCAAGGCCGAGATGAAACTGGACCGATAAACAGGTGAGATTGGCAACTGATCTTGGACGTCTGATGAGAAAATGCTTGATGTGTTAATTTCAAAATTAGTCATATATTAGGCGAAATTACGGCCTTCTGATACATTCATGTTTGGAAAATTCAAAAGGGCACAAGTTTTAAACTCTGTTGTTTTCAAGCAGTTAATTTAAAGAGGATTTGATTCCAGTTCAAAGGTGAAATTCGTCGTTTATACAACAAAAAATGGTCTGCCCGGTGTCCGAGTGGGTATCATGTTTGTGTGCTGCCTGTGAGGTACCGGGTACGTTCCTCAGTTGGGTCGATGGTTTCGCACCGCTGATGAGACTCAACCAGGTCGAAACAGCTGTCCAGTGCTACCTAGCTTTGCAGCTCACGCTTCATTTGCTATATACACGACGAATTCGCATTTGAAATTTAATCAAATCCTCCATTACTTACATGAAATTTGGAATATGTTCGCCCATCCGTTGTGAGACCAGACGCTTTGTTCTGCTACGTATGCGCCACCGCAACTGTAGGTGAACTGGTGTACAGTGTGTGAGAAAGAACCGGTTTGCCAGCCATGATTAAGTTTGTCACCTATGGAGGCAATGAGTCGGAGTTGAGCATGTACGATGTAGAATCGACCTCAACTTATGGAGCACATCAATGTAAATGTGGTCACCTTCGAATGCAAGCCTTTTGTAGATGGCTTTTTTGCCAGTGTTTTCGGTTGGGTTACCTTCTGAACGGTCTTCTGTGAATGTTAATAAGTCTTCCTGGTTAACCATTGTTTAGCAGTGTTCTCCTCATGAAATCCTGTTCTTCTTGCAGTTTATCTGGAGAACAAATGCTTCTCGCCCGATGAAATAGGGTTCTCACAATCCCACGTTTGCAGATGATGAGGAAAAGCTTGAAAAGTGTCGGTGTTGGCCGTTCAATGTCGCTTTTCGGTAGATTGAGCGTTGTAGTGTCCCATTTATCCACCTCTTAACTTTCATGATTGAAAAGACTCGTGTTGTTGATTTCCATTTCATGAAATACAGATAAATGTGAATGGACTGAGTTTAAAAGTATTTTAAAATGTTCCTCATCTGTAGGAATAAAAATATCGTCCACGTAACGTTTGTACAGCATGGACTTGGAAATATTATCACATAGTTTCTTCTCAACCATTCTTAGAAAAACATCTGCCAAAATGGGACCCAATGAACTTTCCATTGCCACGCCATCAACCCGTTTGTATGTGGTTTCTTCAAAATCAAAACGAATGTTCTCTGTACATATAAGAATAAGTTCTTTTAAGTATTCAAGTCGAAAATTGTTTGAAGAAATATAATCACATAAAAAATCAACTGTTTCATAAAGTGGAACACTGATAAAAGGTGAACCCATGTCTCTTGAACACATTCTTGGTTGGGATACTGTGATATTATCTGAAATATTAGATAATTAAAAAGAATCTTCCACACAGTGAGGCATACGAGACTTACAAATGGGAACAAGAATGTCTACTAGCCATTACGTTATCCCAATGCTAAACTTTTAGCAATTAGTGAAGCACTGCTTATTCAATCTTGTGCGCACAAAGGTTTTTGATACAGTAAATCCACTTACCGCTGATCTTCTACTTCTAAATTTAGTAATCTTTGTATTCTTGTACATTTTCGTTCACCGTAATTGATTAACCGCATGTGCTATTTATGTGCCTGTTTGTTTCAATTCAGCGACTGAGAAGATTAAACGAAATATCAACATCTCGCGACAGTTGTCTTCTTTCGGTATTGATGGAATGGATAAAGGGAACTCAATCTAACGATGTTAAGTGACACTTCAAACATGGATTTTATGATTCTGCCGACTTTTCGACTGCGACGCCTTTCTAGGAGAAAGACAAAAAGACCCAACATATGTTTTACTAGCGATAAATTTTTGAAACCTTTGGTTTTCCTGGAGTAGGAAACACCAAACCATATTGGTATTTCTTTCTCGTTGTGGTTATAGATCTGATGAGACGTAGCTTCCCAAGATTCCATACTAATTAAAAATAGCTGCACCACATGTTGAAGGTCTACAGCTGCCTCGCCTGTTGCATCATCTTCCGTATCCTTCGCTGACCAATACAACATTTACTCCTGAAAGCGTCAAAGCAAAACTAATGACTTTGCGAAAAAATGCCGTCCCGGGTGAGGACAATGTACTGCCGAAATCCCTGATCCATTTAGCAAATCAAATATCCGCACCTCTAGCCATTCTGTTCCAACGAATGTTCAACCAAGCAACACTCCAACAATCCTGAAAACAAGGAGTTATTTCACCCATCTACAAAGGTGGTTGTCGTAGTGACCCCGCTAACTACCGACCTGTAACCCTGCTTCCAGTGTCATCGAAAGTCATGGAGTCAATTGGGGCAGATTCGTTGATAGAACAAATAGAAATACACAACATTCTTTCGACAGCTCAACATGGGTTCAGGCAAAAGCGATCCTGCTCCACCAACCTGCTTTTTGTTAGAGATGAATGGACCAGAATAGACCACGAAAGGGATGCGGTGGATGTGATTTATCCCAAATTCTTGAAAGCATTTGATCGGGTAGATCACCAAATTTTGTTACAGAAGCTCTACAGTTACAGCATTTGAGATTTCGTGTTTGATTGGATCAGAGCATTCCTCCAACAACGGACCATATCGGTTCGTATTTCTGATTCTTTATCCGCATCCATCAACGCCACCTGCGGTGTTCCACAAGGGTCTGTACTCGGTCCCCGTCTTTTACTTGCATTCATAAATGATCTACCGAACGAGTTAGTCCCTAAAACAATACTGTTTGCAGACGACACCATAATCTGGAACCTAGCAACAGAGCCCGACGGCTCTCTAACACTTCAAGAAATACTTAACTCAGCTTATTAATGGTCTAAGGAGAATGACATTGAGTTCAATGTTTCTAAATACGAAGTTCCATTCCTACGTCACAGGAGAAGATACCCGTATTTATTCGGGAATCAGCAACTACCACATACCTCAAGTGAGAACTTGGGTGTAATTGCTCACGACAACTTAAGCTCCTAGATCAATTGCGCTAAGGCTTCGTCCGCTGCTGTGAAGAATTTCGGCGTGCTTAGGCGAGTGTTTGGTCGGTTTGAATCAGCATTCAACTGAACAAAGTACGCCATCCATGCTTGGAGGCCATGGTTGCAACGTGATTATAAGATGCGGGATTATCCACGAAGGA